TTTGTGGCACTTTTTGTGCATCTTTTTACAGGTGGGCTAATTTTGTGCCTCTTTTCAATATGCGAACTTTTGTGCATTCTTTTGATTTTTTTACATTTGTACATTTTCAAGTGTATTCTCAATCTTTCTAAAATCAATAATCTAAAATTTTAAATTTCTCTAAGTAGAATAATATTTTTATTGATAATAGAAATACGAAATAAGAAAATATCACAATTGCAATAATAATATGAAAATTTAAATTAGTCTAACAAGAGACATGAGAATGAAATTCTTAATTACATCAAGTTATAAGCACAACTTAAATTTAGAAAAATTTAATTTTCTAATGAATTCAATTTTATATTGCAGTTCAAGGTATATCACTTGTAAGATCAAAAAATTTAGGGATTTTTATATAGGCTAACACACATTTCAAAATAAGATTAAAAGCAAGACAAGATAACTTATATTGATATCATGATGAAGAATATTACAATCAGTAGAAATGATATCAATACGCTTATAATTTGAACTTTAAAACATAAAACTTAAATGATAACTCATCAAATGATACTAACACATAATAAATACAAAACACATCAATCACATCACATTAGCTAGAAAAGATCATAAAAAAGTACATAAATCACTTTGAGGGACCCTGATATGGAGGAGGTGGAGCATTAAGGAAATTAAAATAACTGCTCATCATAAGCATATTGGAACTTATACCATCTATCTGCTCACGTATCTATCGCATGTCTTGATTATACTGAGCATCCTGCTATTGTAAGTGAGTTTCAATTTGATCAAATCTTTGATCAAAATGAGTCTCTAAACGATCAAATATGTGAACCAAATCTTGATAATTTGGTTCACCAGCAGGTGTAGGTTCCTCTTTTAAGTCACTAATAAACATGTTGTTCACGTAGTTCATCTTTATTAAAGATTGCTCGAAAATATCCATCGTTAAAGTAGAGATTCTTCAAAATCTTGAACTGGATAAATTAGATCATATTTCTTTTCCAAAATCTGAGTCACAAGATGTCCTAAGGCAATATTTTTCTTTCTCTTGTGGGAGACATGGCCAATCTCAACAAGTTCATAAATGTAGTCAAAGAGTAGTTGGGCATCATCTATAGATTGGCTAGTTATGATTAGATAAGTCATAGTAGAAAGAAGTGGAGTAATGTTTACTCGATCACCAGCTTTAGGTATCATAGAGGTACGAAAAACATGCTGGATGATTTGGGCTTTTTGACTAAGAGTTGACACTTTGGGTATATGACTTATCCCACCATATCCTCTAAGAATATCATTTATAGTAGACCAGTCAAAGTATGGGCTCTAATCCCTTGAATCCTTAAGTTTAAAAAGATTCCCATATCCTCTTTAGGAATTTCTACTTTCTTCTTAAACACATAGGATCTAATCACAGAAGGATCAGAGTTAAAGGACATGTTTGCAAGAAAGTAGTGAAAGGTCTCCTTGTTGTAGAAGTGGACAAGAGTGAGAATGAGGCCAAATTGAGTGGAAGCAAACAGATTCATTACCTTAAAATTGATTTGCTCTTATAGAAGGACTCTAGATGGAGTGATTTTTGCAGAAGCAAATCTAGGGAATGACTCTTCATTAGCCTTAGACAGAAAGTTTTCACTAAAGTTTTTGGGTGGTCCCTTAGCTAGTGCCTTTTGTCTTTTACTAGAGCTAGCCGTGAAGAAGATCTAGTTGAAATAGGGGTTTGAAAGGGATGTTTGAAGTGATGAAATTTGAGTTCAAAAGCCTTCAATTTAATGAAAAAAATGAGTTTTCGTACATACGAAATTAATTTCTTCCCGTATGAATTTGAGTTCATACGTATGAATGAAATTTTGTATGGACGAAGAAAAGAGTCCAAAAATGAAATGGCTTTTCGTGATCACACAAGTTACGATGCATCCTTTCGTACAGACTTTTGACCAAATGATCATATAAACGAACAGGTGTTCATCCTTGAAAATTGACATTTAAGATCATTTTTATGGCAGTTTAAACCGTCCCCCACATCGAATCGCCAAGCCTTCGTATGTACGAACCATAAGTTCGTACGCACGATCATGCATAATGAAAATGACCTTATCCGTTTAACTGTCTACATTCATACATACAATTGAACAGATCATTCGGACGATCGTGACGATCGTACAAATAAACAGTAAAATGAAAACTGAAAAACTGTATGCAAACAGTTCAAATCCGATAGTTAATACACAAAACAATTCATCTCGTACCAAATAACTTTCATCCCGGACGATTTTCACTTAATTTTGAAGCATGCATTCAAAAATCTAGATGTGAGAGAACACAAAAACAACCTATACAAGAATTCTCAAAACCAAACACACAAACAAAAAAATGATAGAAAACATAGAAAATCACAAAATCAAAAATACACACAAAAACACTAAGTAGAAAAACACATATCAATGTTGTAGAATCACTTTAATTAAGCATTCAAATTGATCACACCAAGCCTTGTTCTTAATGTACTGAAAGTATCCAAGGCTAGTGATTTTGTAAAAATGTCTGCAAGTTGATTTTCTATAGAAACATGAATTAGTTCAATTTCTCCTTTGGATACATGATCCCTTATAAAATAATACCAGATGTCTATATGTTTGGTTATTGAATGTTGCATAGGATTTTTAGAAATGCAAATAGCACTAGTGTTATCACAATAAATGAGAATAGTGCCTATAGTTAATCCTAAATCACCTCAAAATAGAGATCCAAGTTTAGAGAGAGAAGCTGCAAGAACTAGAAAGAGAAAGTTTTGAATTTTGGTTTCGCGGGTTTTTTCATCGAGTGATATGATTGCCAGATTCGCATGGAGGTGGATGTTCATTGTTCTTCGACGGATAACTTGGGTCTGAAGATGGATTCTTCGGCCTCATTGCTGGAGTTAGAGAATGGGAAAGCGATTGCAGGGCAATCTGATTCAAGAAAAGTTATGGATGCGAAAGAGGGTCGGAGAAGATGAGCGAAAGGTTTTTTGGTGATAAATGAAGAGGTAGGCATTGCTTCTCATAATTTTCAACATTGTGTTGGAAAAGGTAAATCGATAGAACCGATTTCTAATATGAAAACTCCAGAAAATTTGAGAAAGATTGAGGCAATTGAGGGCGGCCATGATCAGGGAACGTCTTCTTCAGGAATTAACATTTTTGTTCAAGGATTTGGTATAATAATCACTAATCAGGACAGCAGCGATATTGTTGAGAATCGTCGGCTTGCTAGTCCAAAATCCTTCAAACAAGTGATCCAAGTGGTAGGGGATTCAGAACATATTAAGGAGAGTAATGCGAACCAATTGGCTGATCATGTGTCTGAAAAGAATACGAAAAAGTCAAAATGTGGTAATGTATGGAGTAGAAAACCATACATCAATATGAACTTCCGAGAAGAAGATGCTATTTTTACTAAAGACGGTAAGGCGATTCAGTTAATTAAAGAAGATTAAATAAAAAATATGAACATTTTGGGGAAATCACTAGTTTGCAAGATTTTTGGAAAAAAAACCCAGGAAGTTTCTTGGGAACTCAGAAGATAGTGGGCTCAATTTGACAATTTCTATTTCACAACACTAGGGAAGGGGTGGTTCATGTGCTCCTTCAAAACAATCGAAGCCATGGAAGGAGTTCTGATGGGAGGACCATGGTTCGTAAAGGAGCATATAATTGGAATGGAAAAATGGTCACCGGAGTTCTAACCGTTATCTATGGAAGGTCTTACATCTCCTATTTGGATGCGAATGCCGCAGTTACCATTACAATGCTGGGATGAAAACAATATAACAAGGATAGCAGCTGCAGTCGGCAAACCTCTAATGTTGGATGGCAACATGTTCAGTTGGGGAAGAAGGGAATTCGCAAGGGTCTGCGTTCGAATTAAGCTTGACCAGAAACTACCAGCTGGAGTGTGGGTAGAAAGCATGGGAGGAAGATTTTATCAGAAATTTGAATTTGAAAGAATTTTGAATTTTTGTTTTGACTGTGGTATAATCGATCATGTGAAGTAGGAATGCATGAAAGTTGATTCTGTTGAAAACAATAATTCATCTAAGGATCTATTGCAGGAATCAAAGCAACTTATTGTAGAGGAAGAAAAGAAAAGCTATGGTCCTTAGGTGTTGGTGAACAATAGGAGAAGAAAGTATATTGAAAATGGTCTTTTTTCATTGGTTTGTTAGAAACAAAATTGGAAAATTTGGGTTGTAATGATGTTAGAAGGATGGTGGGGAATGAGTGAGATTTCCACCATGTTGCGGCGTTTGGAAAGTCAGGAGGCACCTTGTTCTATGGAAACATAGAATTGCATCATTCAAGGTAACTGTAACTTCCAAACAGTGTATTATTGGTGAACTTATTACTCCCAAAGGCAAGATAGTTAAAGTGTGCATTATTTATGGTAACAAAAACTTGTATGAAAGAAGGAAACTTTGGGAAATGATTGAAGAACACTTGAACAATGAAGATCATTGTTTAGTTGGAGGCGATTTCAATTGCCTTGTTAACAACAGTGAGAAAATTGGGGGAAAAAGATTTGTTTTCTCCCAAGGCCCACACGAAATGAAGGAATTCATGACCAACAATGACTACCATGACATTGGATTATATGGAGCCAACTATACTTGGTGTAGCAACAAAGATGGCCTTGCTAGAATATGGGAAAGGTTAGATAGAATTTGGTTAAATTCTAAAGCTATCATGGAGTTTCCTAATGCAGTTATCAAGCATCTCCCAAGAATATCTTCAGACCATTGCCCTATTCTTCTACAGCTTGAAGAAAAAGTAAGGAATTACAATAAAGAATTCAGGTTTGAGAATATATGGTGCTCGTATGAAGAAGCTAAAGGTATCATAACCAAATCATGGAGGAAAAATGACTATGGAAATGCTAATGATATTCTTCAGAGGAAAATAAAAAGGTCTCTTAAAAACCTTTTTTATTGGAGTGAAAATAAGTTGAAGGAGTTGAACATGAGGAATCAGTTGCTTAAGCAGGAAATTTTGGAGTTCCAAAAAAGAGAAGCTGCTGCTGGAGGCTTGAGCCAAGGAGATCTATTACTACTGAGAAGCAAAGTTGCGAAATTTAATGCAAACCTGGCTAGAATTACAACATGGTGGAGACAAAGATCTAAATGCCAGTGGATGGATGAAGGCGAGAAAAACATAAGGTATTATCACACTTATGCTTCAGCCAAGAAGAAGAGCAATCAACGTCTACAAATTGCTCGGGAGGATGGATCATTGGTTTCAAATCATGAAGTCATCCATAATATTATGGAGAATTTCTTCAAAAAGAAATGGTGCAAGCGCAGATGTGATTTGAAGAATTGGCCGAATTTCAAAAATTCTGATTGCATACATGGTTATACGAGGAAAATTCTTGAAGCTGAATTCACTATTGAGGAGTTTAAGTTAACACTCAAGAATACGGGTAATAACAAATCTCCTGGAGCTGACGGTGCAAATGCCTATTTTTTCAAAAATTATTGGAGCATTGTGGAACAAGCTACATGGAATGCTGTTAACAACTTTTTCAAAACAGGGGAAATGCTGGAGCAATGGAAGGAAACGATGGTTGTGCTGATTCCGAAATATACAAAATGCTAAAGAATGCTCCAAGTTCAAGCCAATATGTCTATGTCAAACAATTTACAAGATGGTTGCTGGTATGATTCTAAATAGATTCAAAAACTATATTCCGAGAGTCATTTCTGAGTTCTAGGGAGCGTTTGTACCGAGCAGGAGTATTTCAGATAACTGCCTTATTGCACAGGAACTTATTTGTAAGATGAGATCATCTATTGCTAATCCAGGTTATTTCCTTCTTAAACTCGATATGAAGCAAGAAAATGACTGTATGTGCTAGGAAACACTTAAACGGGTTTTGAAATTGACAGGTTTTCCTGATAGATTAATCCTTCTAATTCTACAATGTGTTTCACACCCGAAATTCTCTGTTGTAATTAATGGTAAAAGAACTGATTGGATTAATGCTCAATGTGGATTCAAGCAGGGGTGTCCGCTGTCGCCTAGCCTGTTCATTTTTTGCTCGGATCTTCTATCTAACACTCTTAATGAACATAAGGTGCAGTTGGGAATGAGACTAGCATCGAATACAGAGAAGATCACACATTTGCTGTTTGCAGACGATGTCTTAGTGACTGCTGAAGCTTACAGCAGGAATGCTAAGATGTTGAAGAAATTCTTCAATTATTATTGCAGCTGGACGGGCCAGGCGATCAACTCACAGAAATCCATGGTTCTTTATGGCAAAGCTGTATCTGAAAAGAGAAGAAGTAAGTTAAACAAAATAATGGGATATAAGGAAGTCAAAGAATTACTCTACTTGGGTATTAATCTGACTCTCAGAAGAATGAAAACTGAAGACTACAATAGCACCATTGAGAAAGCAATGTGTAGACTTAATTCTTGGGGAGCTAGATGGCTTTCTCTGGCTGGAAGAATCCTTCTCATTAAAACTGCCTATTCAAGCATGATTAATTATCAGGTAGCACACTCCCTCATTCCTAAAAGAGTTTTATTAAAAGTTGACAAACTCTGTAGGAATTTCTTGTGGCACAAAGAGAATGGGAAACAAGGTTTGCATTATATTGCTTGGGATACTCTATGCTTACCTACAAGCTTAGGGGGATTTGGCATACATGGAGCTGTGGCGAGTAAAGGTCCTTTAAGATCGAGATTGGCGTGGATGTTTTTACAGAACAAGAATTCACTTCTCCTAAAATCCTCTTCAAAACGTTTGGAGCCAAAATGTGGGAGTAAAGCGCAAAGAGAGGAGCATCTACTGCTTGGAGAATTATTAAAGAGGGCATTGAGTATCTGAAACCAGTTGTTAGATGGCAAGTTAACAATGGTAATAGTATAAATATCAATGCTGATAATTGGATATTAGATAGAAGCCTCAACGGATGGCCGGCAACGTGTAATACGGTGGTCATTGACGATAAGAATGTTTCTTTTCTTATGGATGAAGATGGTAAATGTAATTCAGAAAAAATAACTGAATTCTTTTCTGAAGATATGATAAAGCTCATACAACAATTGGAGAAGGGGGATAATAATATAGAGGATAGAATGGAGCTTGTTCATACCAATACAGGTAAAACTATATCAGCATTATGTGCTGAAGCTGTCAATTTTCAAAGTGATAGTAAGTATAGAAAATATAATTGGCTGAAGAATTTAAAATTGGATCAAAAAGTTTATCTATTCTGGTGGAGAGCATTAAATGGTGCTCTACCAACGAAGGAGTGGTTAAGGTACAGAAGATTGGCTAATTCTAATGATTGTCTGAGAGGTTGTCATGAGAATGAAGACACAGAACATGTTATCATAAAATGTAGCATGCTGAAGGTATTATTACAGAGATTAAGAAGCTGCGGATTCAATGTTCCTGCATTTCAAAATATGGATGATTATACTATGGCACTAAAAGAGGGAGCTGATAAGGGTCTTGTGAAGATCTATGCTTTGGCAGTTTACCATAGTTGGAGATCAAGGAAGATGGTCAAGCACGGTAAATCTGAAATTCCTATACCTTATGCTATTGCAGAAATTATTTCCCATACTTCTCACATTCAGCCAAATCCAATTGAAAAGACATGGAACACCAACCAGGTGATGCTGTCCAAATCTTGGTGTCCCCCTCCCAACGGTTGGATTAAACTGAATGTTGATGCTGCTCTATCTGTTAACAACATGGCGAGTATAGTTGGTGTTCTAAGAGATTGCAAAGGTAAAATGTGTTGCAAATTTAGGTCTATCAACTATGTTTTGATGATTGATAAACACTCTTACTTGTCTTGGGCTGTCTTTTACTACTGACTTTTCAGAAATAAAAAATTGGACAGAAAAAGAGAGCCAGCTCAAGATGGGGTAGATTAGGGTTGAGTCAGTCTGTAATTTTATTTTTCCCTTGTTGAGTCAATTGTAATCTTTGGTGTGACTGATACAAAGTAACCCTACACACACACACACACACACACTTGAGAGACTTAGAATTTTTATTTTTACTCAAATCAGCCAGGATGATATTTACATCATCCTGGACGATCAGGCTTAAAACAGAAAATCTAATCAGGGGTTCTTAGTTAAGGCAGCCGTCATTAGCCAATCGGCCTGGATGATACTTGTATCGGCATGGACGATAGGCTCAAAATAGAAAGAAATTATCACAATAAAAAATTAAGGTATTCTATATTTTTGGTAATCGGTCAGGATGATCTTGGATCGGCCTGGACGATATTCACAATTATGCTTTAATTAATCAGATAATCAAGGAAGTAATTAAGGATGATTGATATTATCACATCATCCTAGTTGATCGCAGGATCATCCAGGATGATCTAGTAAAAAAACCTTAGTTACTCCTGGACGATCTGGATCGGACAGCTTGAATTCAGGTCGATGCTTTGGACGATTTTCCTCTAATTTGAACTGACTGGCCGGGATGATCGTGAGATCGTCCGGGACGATCAAGCCAATTTTCAATCATCCAGTTTGCATTCAAGGCGATGTTCTGGCCGATCTTCTAAGATTTGTACTAATCGGCCAGGATGATGTCCATATCGTCCTGACGATAAAGTCGGCAACTTGTAATTAATGAGCTCCTTTGAAACTCTTCTATTTAAGAGCTCTTGTTCAACATTTTTTAACATCCTTGGCTGCTGTCTTGACCTGAGAAAACCTAAAGGAGAGAGAGAGAGGGAGAGAGAGAGAGAGGATCTTGTGAGGGGGAGCTTGTGAGGGGATTCACAAGGGTTGCTTCAAGCATTATTCGACTTCTTCTTTCATAGAGTCTCTTGTCCTTGGAAGGGTTGGGAGAGGTATGTTCCAGCAAGCGATCGAGGTTCTCTGACTGCTTCAGGAGGAAGCAAAATGAGGAAGGTTCTCTGCCTTGCCGGGTGTGGCAAAAAGAGGTATTTGTAAAGGCTTCTCGACCTAGCAGTGAGGGCTAATGGAGAGTCATGATTGTAGTGCAATACTCGAAGGGCGTCTCCGAGGAGTGGACGTAGGTCGAGTTGAACGAACCACTATAAACCCTTGTGTTCTTATTTTTTACTGCTTCCGCATTTATTTTCTTCCTCACTTATTTTTGTGGTGATTTGGTTTGCATTCGTGCTTTGCTTAAATAAACTTTTTTAAATACCAATTCACCCCTCCCCCCTCTTGGTTAGCCTTGGGCCTATTCTTTAGGGCTTAACATCCCTAACTAACTTTCAAGTGATATCAGAGCGAGATTCATAAAAACTAAGTTTAAAAACTTTTTGAATTTTGATCCATGACTAACTTTGGGAATCATAATACACCGGAAGGGTATTC